ACCAAAACTCCAGACCAACTTCAGATTTTTAACCTCTGGTGTTTAATCCAGATTGCCCAAAATACTCTCTCCATGAACGCACCACGCTAATGCCAAATATGGCCGCGGATCTGCTGGTGTGTCACCAGTGGCCTCGGGGTCTTAGGATGCAAATCAGCGATGATTGCTCTGAGACTAAGTTTGAAAGAAAAACTCATACTGGGGCAGGAAAGGTGAAACTACAGAACAGCAAGGACGGACCTCGAAACCTCTGAAATTGCTGGACGTATGGTGGATCCTAATCCAATAGGGTAGGTGTCCTTGTAAGGAGACATTTAGAAAGACTTAAGAGACATCAAGGAGGTAGAGGAAAGGCCATGTGAAGACACCAGGGGTAGGAGTCCACCTGCAAGTCAAGATCAGAGGCTGCAGAAGAGACCAAACTGGCCAAAATCTCAACCATGGACTTGCAGCTTCCAGACCTGTGACAAGATACACTTGCTTACATTCCCCGCCGTGTGGTATTATGTCGTGAACGTCCTACCGAACAGTGTTCTTGTTTGTCCTCTTGTAGAGTCACATTTACCTCGGAACTGCTGTTGTTTGCCTGTTTGTTTGTTTTGCCCGTATGTTCAGTGAGGGCTGGCTGTTTGCTGAAACGGAAGGAAGTTAAAAGCATAGGACACGACTTCACTGGAAGCACCTAACGAAGCTTCACTTTTAAAATATATGTCTTGCTAATTGGATTATTGCTGTAGCCAAATACCTGCCAAAAGGCAATTCGAACGGAGGTGAGGTCAGCGTTGGCTCCTCGCCTAAAGTGACATAGTGGGGAGGGCATGATGTCTGGCTGCAGAGGTCCAAGTGTGAGGCTGGCAGTGGCTCACATCTGGGTAGACCAGGAAGCAGAGGTGGGTTATAGACTGCAAGGCTTAGCCCACTTGATGAGCCTTGTACTCCAACTGGGCCTTCTAAAGGTTCCTCAACTTCCCTAAATGGCACCAACATTCAGGGACGGAGTATGGAGTGTTTGAACATATGAGCCTGTGGAGAACAATTTACATCTAAACAATGTGTGTGTGTGTGTGTGTGTGTGTGTGTGTGTGTGTTCACGCGTACACACTCCCTTAGTTCACAGCACAGTCCTGAGACAACTTACCCTCATCTTACTTGGGACCTCGCCATACATGCTTGCCCAAAGCTGGCACGTGAGTGGAATTTGAACACTGGTTATGTGATCTCTGTGTTCTGCTCACAGTGTGTGAGCCATATTGAGCAATTTCCTCCCACGTGAAAACCCTTCTCCATGGTCTGTGGAACACTTGGCGCTACTGACAAGTTAACTGCTCTGAATAGAAGGCTGGTCGGAGGATCCTGAGCTTAGATGCTTACTAGACAATCAATTGTCCGTGAGAACAAGGGAAGGAGCCTCCCTAGTGCGGAAAGGGCCCCAGCCCAGTCTGCAGTTTTCTATATTTGGAAAAACAACAATGCTGGCTGTCATCCTGAGAAGAAAGAGGATTCTCTCGTCAAAAAGAGGGACCATAGGCAAACATGGCAAGAAACACGAGGGGTATAAATATCTATTATGGGTAATTAGCGTCCTCTGTTTCTTAAGAAAGGAATTTTTTTTTCTTGACCAAAGTGTACCCCTTCTCCATTTTAGAGAGATTATTTTGGGGGCAGAAGTGGATAGATTCTCACCCTGTCTCTAAGGGTTGCGAGTGTGGAGTGATGTGGGCTAACCCCCAATTCCACTCGGCGAACACTGGCGATAAAGACAAGGACATAGCGCTAGCCCTCTGCATGTGCAAAGCCACCAGGTGGGCCGGGCTCCACCCATTCATGCACGCATGCATGATGTGGAACACTTATTCTTCACCCCCTATACTGAAGAAGGAAAAAAACCCTCTCTAACTCGATGTGATAAGCATCCAGACCGAGGAATAGAAAATCTTACAGTGACAGGGGCTACAGAGAACGTGTTTCACGCAAAACAAATGAAACAGAAGCCAAACCCAAAACATGGCATACTAGGATGGCAGAGAGCCCATCACTGAGTCAATGCTCAGTCCTTTACTGACCGTGATGTCTTAGTCTTGTAACAGCTCTGTAACATGTAACAATTAACAATGTTGATTGTGCAGGCAAAGAAACGGGAGATTCGTAATTGTCAAGGTACCTGCCTGAAGTCACAGCCAGTCTCTACATATTGGTTGTCTAGTTATTGGCAGTGTGATTTGTCTCTCAGTCTTCCTCTTTGAGCTTGCCGATATAAAAACACCAAACCAAACCAACAACAAAACACAGCAAAACCCCAGGAATTTATTTTATTTCTGAGACAGGGTTATGTTATGTAGCCCTTGCTGTCGAGGAACTATGTAGACCCAAGCTGGCTCGAACTCACTAAGACCTACTAGACATGGGGGACGTGTGCTGAGAGACATTGAGGAGGTAGTAGAAGGTGTTTGGGGATCATGCAGACCACAAGATGTCCGTGGACAGAGAAGGAAGGAGGCCAGGTGAGGGAGAAGGCTTTCAGGTCACACTGCAGTGGGTCATCCGGTGACTGTGGCTGCGTATGTGTGTGTCTTCCTTTGCTATCAGTGTAATTGCTGGAGGAACGTGGGGAACGCGTCACGTGGGAAAACGCGTCACCTTCATCGCTGTTCTTCGCCAATGGCACAGTGCCCAGCATGCAGTAGGCACTTAGTAAATGTCTGCTGTGCTTACAGGAGTCCAAGGACTGTTTTTCTTCTGTCTTTGCGCTTCAAATCTTACCCAAAGCCGCTGTGCAAATCGTCTCCCGTATGCATTAGCGGAGAAAAGGAACTTGTTTTCGAAAGCAGCTGCTTTGTTCATAATTGTGCTACTTATATCAATTTAATACTTATGAAAACTGAGAATCGTACTCAGGATTACGGCCTCACAGGCTATAAATGGTTCTTCTTTGTGTTGTACGTGTATACATATTTGTGTGTGCGTGCACATGCATGTGCATGCTTGTGTGTATGTGTGCACGCATGCCAGAGTGGAGGTCGGATTGATTTTGAGTGCACTCTTCAATTGCTATCTACTTTATTCTTTGTTTGTTTGCTTATAAATATCACTGTGTGTGTGTGTGTGTGTGTGTGTGTGTAAGAGAGAGAGACAGAGAGAGACAGAGACAGAGAGACAGAGAAAGAGAGCCAGCCCACACACATGTGTGTGCTTGCCACTGTGTTCGTGTGAAGGCGGGAGGGAAATCTTTAGGACTTGGTTCTCTTCTTCCACCATGGGACTTGGGGTTTGAACTCAAGTCTTCAGGCTTGCCTGGCAAGGACTTTTCCCTACTGAGGCTCCTGGTCTGCCCGATTTTTGAGGCAGAGTCTGTCTTCAGTGAGCCCGGAGCTCACCAATTTGTCTAGGTCGCCTTTACCTCTTACCCCAGCATTGGGTTACAGACATGCACTTCAGGGTCTAGATTTTTATGTGGGTGCTGGGAACCCACATTCATCTCCTCATGCTTGTATAACAAACACTTTACTGACTGAGCCATCTCCTCAGTCCTCCCAGCCCCCCCAAAACCTCTTCATAATTGACAGTGCTGGTTGCTCAATTACTTTTGTTGCTTATAGTAGTGGCTGTCAGCCTTCCAAATGCTGTGACCCTTTAATACAGTTCCTCATGTTGTGGTGACCCCAACCATAAAATTATCTTCATTGCTGCTTCCTATCTATAATTTTGTTACTGTTATGAATCATAAAATAAATATCTGCTATTCAGAATATCTGCTCTGCAACCCCGTGAAAGGGTCATGACCCACAGGTTGAGAGGAAGGTAATTATGAGGACATACCATCCCTTGAACCTACAGAAGTCGGTGAAAATAATCCCCGCATATAATCTCACCAAGCTCCAAGTGACTTTAAAATAAAAGTTTTGTGACCCAAATGGTTGTCATGCCATGTGGTGGTCCCATTTTTCTTTCAGCAGGAACACAGTACAGCACATTGTTAAGGACACAGAATCAGAATCTGGGCTTCCACACCTCCTCATATGAGACTTTTCCCACCCCCTCTATAAAGGGCATGAGGATAACATCGTCTTTGTATAATTTTTTTAAAGATTTATTTATTTATTATGTATATAGTGTTTGTTTATTACACATACAGTGTTCTATGTGCATGTATGCCTGCAGGCCAGAAGAGGACATCAGATCTCACTACAGATGGTTGTGAGCCACTATGTTGTTGCTGGGAATTGAACGTAGGACCTCTGGAAGAGCAGTCAGTGCTCTTAACCACTGAGCCATCTCTCCAGCACTATGTTTGTACTAAATTTAAAGCCAGGCAGTGGTGGCACACGCCTTTAATCCCAGTACTCGGGAGGCAGAGACAGGTGGATCTCTGTGAGTTTGAAGCCAGCCTGGTCTACAAGAGCGAGTTCCAGGACAGGCTCCAAAGCTACAGTGAAACAGCCTCAAAAAAAAAACCCCACAAAATAAAAAAAAAAAAAAGAAAAAAGAAATTTAAGAGACTTTTTTCCTTTTGTCTATAAGGCCTCACTCTGCAGTCCAGGCTGCAATCAGGCTTGCTATGTTCATCGGGTTTGCACTTGAGACCCTCCTGTCCCCATGCCCCATGCTGGAATGACTGACAGGTGTACACCGCCAACTCCAGAAGGTCTGAGTGACTTGGTGCTATGGAAACCCGACACAATATCAGAACATTAGTCATTTCAGCCACGATTGTTTCCTTTAACAATGATGATGATGATAGTAACTTTTAAAATATAAGGTGCACCCTTCTGTAGGTTTTCTTCCTCTTGTTCCTTTGCTGCTGCTGCTGCTTCTTCTTCTTCTTCTTCTTCTTCTTCTTCTTCTTCTTCTTCTTCTTCTTCTT